TCAACCTGCTGCTGTGAAGCAGGATTCTCCACCATGAACAGAATCAAAAATAAAATATGGATCCAGGCTCAAAATGAGCTCCTTGATATGTGCTTTAGAATGACTTAGTCTCCATTCAAACCCAGCTTTAAAGCCTTGCAGGGCAGCATAAAGCCCACTGCCAACATTAAGACAGAAAAAAGAAAAATAAACGGTCAGTTAAGGTGTTTTATAAAATATGTGAATCAGGAAATGATCTAAATACCAAAAGGAAAGATTGTTGTTCTCTAATTCAATAAACACTTTAGATTATAAAATGGATTTATATCTTTTTATTTAAAAAGTCAATGTATAAAATGGATGCATAAAAACCTCATTTTATTATTTGTTCAAATCTGTTTAAAATAACAGGTTTAGAGGCTCATAATTTGCCTTCAGAGGCGAATGATTTCCAGGTTCTTCACATATGACCTAACTTATCAGATGAGTTTATTTAATTGGTTTGTTGTCTTCAAATCAACTGAAATGTTTAAATATGATAAATAAAATCCTCCTCCTGTTAGGATGACCCCACTAAGTGTGCAGCTGTCCCTTTCGTGTTTCTCTGACATTTAACGCGACAGCTCATCACTTAATCCTGAGGATCATAACAATCATGGGTTTGGTCTGAACCATCAGAAGTCATCATCTGTGACTGCAAAAACTAAACAAAATAAACATCCAATTAGGCCTTCCTTTCCCCGGGAACCCCCCTTTCTTATGGACCCCCAGAGGTCTCCATGTGTGAACACTGGAAGATACCCAGCTGTCAGAATAATAGCAGCGACAGGAGGCGTGCATGGGGATTTCATGGACTTAATTAGAGTGGAACAAGACTCCAGACAGACTACAGCCACCAGCAGCCTGCCGGTCTCCATAAAACCCAGGAGTGGTGCTTGAAGAAGCCACTTAGATGATGTAACAACACACTTCCAAACATGAGGGGCTTCACCTGAGCCTTTATCAAGAAGTGATTGCAAGTGTCCAACGGCTCAGAATCAGAGAGGCAGAGGTGTGGATTATTGAGCGAGTGTCTGCGAGCGTAGCTGCTGCTGCTGTTCCGTCCTGTTCATAAATCCATTACAGTCTTGCCTGTGTCTGCAGATAAAGGAGGAAACTCATGTTTCTTTAAATTAGAGGGGACTTGTTTTGAAGACATTCCAGGACAGGAATGGGATGCCAGAAGGCTGGAAATGATTCACTCTGAATTCCTACATGGTTTAAATATTGGATTTCAACTCAGAGGAGATGTTCTTTATATATACAGCCTCCAAGGATGGATGGATGGATGGATGGATGGATGGATGGATGGATGGATGGATGGATGGATGGATGGATGGATCGATGGTAAATTCCAAATCT